GGCCGAAGCAGCCGTCGGCGGGGCCCGAGAGGAAGTCGAGCAGCAGCGCGTGCGCGGAGAGGGCGGCGTCGTGCAGCTGAGGCACGAGCTCGACGCCGACGACGAGCTTTGCGGCAGGGAAGGCGAGCGCAGCGCCGAGCACAACGCGGCCGCACCTGCGCGCGGCCAGCACCGGGCAGGCGTGGAGAGGGTGGCGGGAGGGGCGGGGCGGAGCGAAGCGCCGGCGGCGCACCCCGAGCCCAGATCGACGAACGTCGCGCCGTCTCGCACACCTCCGACGGCGCGCAGCAGCTTTCGGAGCGGCACGAACTCCGCCTCGCCGTACGTGAGCGAGACAAAGTTGTGGTCCTCGACGGGCGGTGTGCCTATTCACAGCCACGCGCGTGAAAGCGCGCCGTTCACAGCAGAGCCGGCCGGCTTGTCAGACGGGGCGCGGCGCGCCGGCATCCATCAACGATGTCCATCGCGGCGGCGGCGGCCGACCTTTGACGTACTGCTGCGAGAGGGCCGCGCCGTCGACGCCGCAGAAGGCGGCGTCGTACCGCTTGCATGCACGGCGGAGCGGTGCACTCTCGAGCTCAGTCCGCTCGGCGACGAGGCGGCAAGTCACCGGCCTGCGGGCGGCAAGGCGGCGGAGGGGCGGTCAAGGGGCCACAAGCGGTCGGGCGGGCGCGCGAAACCGTCCGCGGAGCGAGAGCGGGGAAACGCTGCGCACCGTGACGCCGGCAGCGGCTCGGGCGGCGGCGGCGGCGGCTGCGGCGGCCTGGGCGGCGCGGGCACCGAAGTGCGGATCGCCTGCCCTGCCTTTGCCGGCGTCGGCAGCCGCGTAGTGTACCTAGAGGTAGAGAAGAAAAACCTAGGAGACGGGTGCGACCAAAGGATCGTGCACTGGACTCGGCGCCCGTGTGCACACCGCGAACCGTGCATGCTCGAGCGAGTGGCATGAATTCATTGATTCATTAATCTCGCATGCTCGAGCGAGTGGCGCAGCGGTGAGAGCATCGGGAAGGCTCCCTCGCGCTGCTAGTCTCTGTTGCATCTGGGCTTGGGCGCCGGCGGCCAGCGTGCTCAAAGGTGAGGCTCTCCCCCTTCTCCAAGTCGCGCGGCGCCCGCACGATGATCGGCGTCTGCTCGGGCGGCGCCGCGGCGGCGGCGCCGGGCGGGGGCGGCGGCGGTTCGTTGCCGCGGAGCATGCGAAAGGTGCAGCCTATCCCGTGCGGTTTGACAGGTGAGCGACTCCCGAGGGGCGCTTGGCCAGAGGAGCGCAGGACCGGGGGGCGGGCTGGGGCGGGGGCAGCTGGCGGGGAGGTGGTGTGGCGGAGAGGAGTGGGTGACGGGGATGGAGGCGGTGGAGGCGGTGGGCTTTGGCGGGGACGGCGCGGCACCGAGTGCAGTGTGCCCAGACTCGATGGACGGCGGCATCTCGCCGGCGCCGAGCGACCCGATGGTGACGTGGACCTCCGACGGCTCCCACACCCACGCCGAGCAGGAGAGGGTCACCTCGATGGTCGACGCGCCGTCGCACGAAGCCTCGCGAGAAAAGGTGTCGCACCAGTCGTAGTTTCGCGCCGCGAGTGACGCAAAGTGGTTCCGCCGCGACGCGAGCACGTACGCCCGCTGCCCGATCTCGCAGCCGGCGACCAAGGCGGGGATTCTCAGCACGAGCGTGCCCCGCCCGACAGCGCGCACCGTCGCACGCACGAAGCGGCGGCAGTCATCTGGGACCTCGCCACCCTCGTCTATCGGCTCTGTCCGTTCGACTGTGGGGCGCTCCAGCGGCGCGCGGACAGCCAGCACGCGCTTGGAGCGCAGGAGCCGCGCGGCAGCCTTGCTCCCAACCACAGGCACGGACCAGCAGATGGCCACCGGCGCTGCCGAGTCGTCCCGGCAGCGGAGACACAGTCGGTCGTCATCCACCCGCAGGTCTATTGACTCGGCGCGCGTGTCGTCAGCAAGCGCCACCTCGCAGAGCGCGACGTCGTGCGAGATGGTCTGCTGCACGGAGTCCAGTCTCAGCCAGGTGGGCGGCATCGCGCTCGCTGGCGCCAACGCCAATCCTCGAACAAGGCAACGTCGACGAATCGGGGCGAGATCACTTCTTCACAGCCTTCTCTCGAGGTTCTCTCGAGGTTCTCGAGGTGGAGATCCTTTGGCCGCGTTGGGTAGCGAGGATTGGTGTAACCCGAGCCACGGAGGCGTGTTTTCTGACGGCCGTCAGTGCACGGAGTTGCCCCTTCTCCGACTGCCCCGGCTAGTTCCCGCACGCGGGGCTAACCCTCGGTGCTCGGAGAGTATTCTCGTATTACTAGCTCTGAGTAGAGGGTGCGTTCTGCTGCTAGGGGAAACCCGGAGCGCGGAGCTATCCCTCGGAGACCCGTGTTATGGCCCTGCGACCGCGCACCCCCGGGGCTAGGCCTAGGGCTCTCTAGCCCGTAACCCGATGCCGATCATCCGGCCCGCTGGGTGCGCTTCTGAGCTCCCCGGCCCTGGATGTGAGGTTGATAACTGCACTCCAAGTGCTCCAAGTTCCCGAGGTCGCGCGGGGCTGACCCCTGCGTCCCCCGAGACCTAGCGCGGGTGGGTTGGAGGGGGGCTCGCTGCAAGGAAGGGCTGTGTAAGAAGCCGATCCCCTAGTCCGCCCCGCTCCTCCCCATCGCGCATCGGGCCGCATGTGAGCGGCCACGCCTCGCAGATTCGTTTTCGCGCCTGGGTCAGGCGCGCGGGGCATCCCCCGGGTCGCTCGCTCGACCAGCGATCCGAAGAGTGGCCGCTATGTGAGGGAAAGAGCGGGCGGGGCCCTCGACGCCTCTGTCCGTCTCGAGGTTCTCGAATAATTGGATATGAGGATATCCTTTGGCCGCGTTGGGTAGCGAGGATTGGTGTGACGCTTCACAGCCTTGTCACTGAGAAGAAAATACCTCAGGGCGCTGTGCGCTGGTCTGTGAGAGTTGAGGTAGGTGCGAGCCCTGGAGGCCCTGGGGATGGGGGGAGACTACCCGCGGGCCTAGGCCCGCGCGCAGGGGGGTGGGACATTGAGACCGGTCATGAAGGAGATGTTGAGACGCCCCTGCTGCGGTCTCCTCGCGGAAGGATTTTGTTTCAGATTTGCGAGGATTGGAAAAAGTAAACTGCCGCCGGACGCAAGGACTTTTTGGGAGCGTTCCGCTGGCGCTCTCATGGGCGAGGAAGCGGGCGAGGCGGCTGTCCAGGGCCAGGCGGCTGGCGACGTGCTCTGGTTCGCGAATCCCTCCGCGGGTGCTGCCACCGCCTCCGCGCCCGTCGACGCCGGAATCCCCACGCTTCCGATGAAGCGCAAGTCGCCGCCACCCGAGGAGCCGGAAGCGGCCGTGCAGCCCCTAATGCACGTTCAAATGGGAGGCCCGCCCCCCACAGCAGCGCCGGTTATCGAGGCCGCACCCGTGGTGCAGATGGCCGTAGCGCCGGCTACCGAGGCCGCGCCCGTGGTGCAGGCGGCCGCGGGCCCCGTCGCAGCGGTCGCCGCGGCGGTCGCTGCGGCGGCGGTTTCCGCCGGCCCGCCCGTTCGGCGACCGAGGGGCCGCGCGCCGAACGACGAGAGCGGGCGGCCAAAGGTGTGGAACCCAAACTTGGCCTGCTGGGTCGAGGACACCGGCGAACTCCCCGCGGCTGTCCCCGGCTCGGGGACCTCGGCAGCGGAGGCCGAGAAGCAGAGGAAGAATGCAGAGCGGCAGCGGGAGCGGCGGGAGCGAGGCGACTGGAATCCGCAGGACGAGCAGTGCTGCCCGAAGTACGCCAAGAACACGCTCAAGTCGAGCCGCATCAAGGGCGACCCAATGCTGGCGGGTATGCTCGAGAACCACAAGGCGGTCCCGGCGACCCCGTTCTGGCGGATGCTGTGCAGCAATGATTACCACACGACGCGGCGCGAGATCACCAATTTCCGCTCGCGCCAGCAGCAGAAGGCCAAGAAGGCGGCGGCCGCGGGCCTGGCAGCGGCGGGGCCGCTCATGGCCCTACCGTATGCAGGGTAGGAGCCCATAGTGTGGAGAGGACTGCCCTGCGCGCCCGCGCGCGCGCGGGGGCCGCTCTGGTAGGCTGTAGCGCCGGACACGCCGATTAGTTGTCGCGATGTGTCCGTGCGCGTGCGAATTGCGATGTGGGCCTGGCGTTGCGTGTGTCTTTGCTCCAGGCAACGGCCGTGGCGAGAGAGGGACACTGGTATCTGGGGGGTGGGCGGCATTTTTGAATCATTCAAAAATTCAAAGATCTTCATGTTCCCAACCTTTTGAATGATCTTCATGTTTTCCCCAACCTTTTGAATGATCTTCATGTTTTCCCCAACCTTTCCTTTAAACTCTGGTACAATTAGAAAACGAAAAGCAACTCCGGGAGCGTTAGCAACCACAGGTGACCTGAGGCCGCGCCCGCGGAGGATGGCGAGGCGGGGCACGGAGGGTCTCCCGAGCGTGAGATATGACGAGCTCCGACGCCGGCGTCTCAGTCGTTGTACGGGGTCGCCCATGGCAGGAGCGCGCCGAAGCGGAGGTGCTGCACGACCGGCAGCTTGCCGAGCACCTCGCCCTCGTACATGCGCAGCAGCCCCTTGACCACCTTGTCCCACGAGTCGATGGCGGAGATGTCGTTCAGGTAGGGCGAGTGCTCCCCAAAGGGCCCCTTCTTGACCTTGCGGATGAAGGCGACGGCGGCGAGGTAGAGGTAGTCCGCCCCCGCCTCGGCGAGCAGCTCCTCGTCGTGGATAGACGACGGCTGGATCCGCGCGTGCCCGACCAGCTGCGCCGCGCCAAAGACAAACACGAGGTGCTGGTAGTCGTCGAGCCCCCACACGCCGTGCGAGCCGGCCGGCTCGAGGCAGTACGTGGTCTGGAGCCGCCGCATCAGCGCCAGGTACCGCTCAAAGACACGCAGCACCACGGCGGGCCTGTCTGCCGGATCGAGCACCTGCCGGCGGCGCGGCTGCAGAGGTGGGCGGCGGAAGCGGCGGCGGAAGCGGAAGCGGCGGCGGCGGCGGCGGCGGCGGCGAGCGGCGGCGGTGGCGAGGGCGGGGAGGCTGAGCGAGGGCGGTGGCGAGGGCGGGGAGGGCGCGGCGTGTACGGCGAGGGTGCGGCACCTGCATCAGCTCGAGGCCGCGGAGCCAGGCGAGGAGCTGCAGCTCGTGCCCCGTCCCGTAGTCGATCCTGCTCCGCAGAGGCGCGCGTGTAGGGAGGCGTGTGCCGCAGGAGGGGTGCCGCAGTCCTGTGTGGGCCGCGTGCGAGGGCGGCGACCTGGTCGGCGACCCAAACGCCTCGGCGAAGTAGGCGGCGAGCTCCGCGGCCGCGTCGGCCGGCGCTGCTGGCGCGCCGCTCTCCGGCGCCGCGCGCTGCTCCAGCAGCTCCGCCATCAGGGCCGGCGCGCGCTCCGCCATCCGCGCGTGCCACGCCTTGAAGGCTTTGTTCCCATAGCGCATCGCCTGCTGGATTGGCGGGATCTCGTCGATCCACGCTGCCATCGCGTCGAACTCGGCCAGGAGCGCGCCGATCACCGGCCGCTCCTCGCATGTGTCCGACACCGCGCGGCCGACAACGGCCTCGGCTAGGTCGTTCGCAAACTGCATAAGGGCGGCGTGCGAAGCCGACAGCTTCCAGTGCTGCAGCGTGCGCTGGTCGCAGATGCGCTTCGTGAGCACTCCCTCGTTTTCCGCCGCCGCGGCGGCGCGGCGAGCCTCCGCCAGCAGCAGGCCTGGGGCTGCGTCCATTTCGTTCCGAGCGGCCTAGCCCTCTTGCTACACTCGTGCTTCGGTGTGAAGCGTCTAGCGCGCGCGATAAGGTTTTTGCTCGCCTTCCCTGGGACCCCGTGTTGCGTGACTCTGTGCAATTTCGGGCCCGGGGTTGTGCGTTTACGTGAAGCTGTGAACAGCGCCATAGGAGGTACTTTCTTCTCAATAACAAGGCTGTGAAGTCCCACCCCCCTGCGCGCGGGGCCTTCTAGGCCCGCGGGTAGTCTCCCCCCATCCCCAGGGCCTCCAGGGCTCGCACCTCAACCTCTCATAGCGCAAAGCGCCATAGGACGTATTTTCTTGTCAATAACAAGGTCTGTGAACAGGTCCGATGTCGATGGCCGAACGGTACGCTGCTGCGCCCCATTGGCGGCCTCGCTGCTGGCGATGCCAGCCGCGCCACTGGCACGTCGGTCGCCACCGTCACCACGTCTCTCGCCGCGGTGCCGGTGGAGCTCTGCGACGAGGACGTGGCAATGCGCTGCTCTGCTCAAAGCGATGCTGGCTCTGCTGCCGACCCTGAGTGGGAGGCAGTGCTGGCGCAGCTGCTAGCAGAGGAAGCAGAGGAAGAGAAGCTCTGCTGCCGCTTCGAGCGCCGTGGCGACGACTCCGACGACGGGTGGGACAACTACAGTGAGGAGGAGGAGGATGCTGCTGTGCAGGGTGTGGCTGAGAAGGTGGACGAGTCGCTCGAGCGTCGGGACGAGCGGGCTTGCGCCACTGGTGGAGGATTCAGTATGCTGCAGGCGGCTCCCACCCTCGATGGGTTATCACTCCTGCGACTGCATCGAAGAGGGCTTCAACATTCAACAAACAGGAATCGAGGGTGACCGCATGTCTGCATCAGACGTGTCATCCGTCCCGATCGTGACCAACCAAAGCCCCCCCTCTTCTAAGATCCGCGCTTGCCCCCGGATCCTGAACCCTCCACCGCTCCCAGCCGTGCTCGCCGAGCCTCCGCCACCTCCACCTCCGCCGCACCGACCTCCAAAAGATCCAGGAGAGCAGCAAAGAAGGAATAAAACAATCGAGTTCCACAGGCTGCTGCGCGGTTCGACGCGCACTTCCCGCCCCACTATCGGTACTCGCACGACGACCACCAGGCGCTAGACGTTTTTGGAGGCCCGGGCCTTCCGCCCTGCGCTGGGAGGCAGAAGACCTTGGCGACTACGACCTCCTCAACCCCTCGTCGGCAGCGCGCCGCAAGCAGGTCCTTCTGGAGGAGGGCTGGCCTCGCGGCGAGTTGCCTTCCAAGGTGGGGTTGCGTGAGCACATGCAGGCTCGCGCTGCGCTGCGGTATAAGGTGCTAGGTGGGCCTGGCAATGCCGCTGAGACCGGTGAGTACTTGTACGCCCGAGCTACGCGCCGACGCTGGACATCGGACAAGTGGTCCACACGCTGAACAGAATGTTCAATCTCAATGTCCCACCCCCCTGCGCGCGGGCCTTCTAGGCCCGCGGGTAGTCTCCCCCCATCCCCAGGGCCTCCAGGGCTCGCACCTCAACCTCTCATAGACCAGCGCACAGCGCCATAGGACGTATATATTTTCTTCTTTGAATAACAAGGCTGTCTGTGAATCACGCCCGCTGTGAAAATCGCGGGGGAGATTTTCGCCAGTCAATAGAGCATAAAATTACCTTTCAGACGGTACCTTTCTGTCCTCCAGAGTCGAAGAACTCGACCGGTGGCTGGCCGCCAAAGTGGCTGGACGGCGCCGCGGCGCACACTGGTGAGCCGCGGAGCACACTGAGAGAGCTGTCCTCGGCGCAGCCGATCGGCTCCCGCGGCCTGGGTGGTGGAAGTGGCACTCTCTGAGGCTCCCTGATTTTTTCTGGTATTTGTTGCACTCTCTGGTCACTTTCGCCGGGCGAGCCTGGCTCTCGCTGCACAGCGGCGCGACCCGTGTCACCCAGCAGCACTGCTTTCTTCTTTTGTAGAGAGAGCGAATCACCGCAAATGCACTTGGAGCACTTGGAGTGCAGTCATTAACCGCACATCCAGGGCCGGGGAGCTCAGAAGCGCACCCAGCGGGCCGGATGATTGGCATCGGGTTACGGGCTAGAGAGCCCTAGCCCCGGGGGTGCGCGTTCGCAGGGCAAGGGCCTTAAAGTAAACACGGGTCTCCGAGGGTTGGCCCCGCGTACCGGGTTTCCCCTTCACTGCAGGACGCCCCCTCTACTCGGAGCTAATGAACACCACACTGCACGCCTCACACGTCACACCTCACGCCCGACTTTTCTTCTATCGTCGATGATCGGCTATAGCGGACGTCCCGGAAGGCGTCTCTGGCAGGTCAATGGCGGACGCGCTGCCAGATTGCGTCCCGCTGTGGCGGGACTTCACCGACAAGCTGCTCAAGCCTCTCGCCTGGCCGTCCTTCTGGCAGGGGGTCTTGTTCGGCAGGGAGTGCAATGGAGCCTCGCCTCATGCAGCCCCGGTCGCCTTGCGACTGGCCCAGCCGATGGAGGGTGGGCCATCATTGCTGCCGCTGACGCCCGGCTCGTCGAGCACCATGCTGCCGCTGACGCACGACACCGTGCAGGGCGCGGCACAGCTGGCCGAGGAGCACAAGTACTTTCTCGGCGCCTGCCTCGCGATTGCGCTGCTGCTGGCGCTCGCCGTGCGGCTGCGAGGCGCGCCTGCGAGGCTCTCACGAGGCGGCCAGCACATGGTGCTCAACGACGAGGGCGGCGGAATGCGCACGACGAGCGGCGGCAGCGGCGGCGGCTTGGCCCGCTTCTTACCATGGGGGTCGGCCCCAGGAGGCAGCTCCGGGCCGGTGGGCATCATGGAGGCGGGGCTCCTTCCGAAGCCCGTGCAGGCGCCACCGCCAA